AACTAAAAATGTACAGCCATTGTTCGTTAGCCCTTGGAAGATCCAAACCAGACTGAAAGTGGGAGCTGTTGCTCAGGCGGCAGCTTTTCATGCACCTGTTATGTGAAGCAATATGAACTAATACAATATTGTAATGAATCATGGGTAGAAGTTCAGGGGTTCCAGATATTATTTTTGACTGTTTCATTGACAGTCGATGGCTTGAACCGATTTTGTGCTCATTTTATATATTTCCCTATTAGGAATTACGTTTTATGGAGTTTAAGGCCAAAAGGAAAAACATTACATATAGAACACATCGAAGGGCTTTCACAGTTGCTGACACATGAAAAACTTACCTTTTACACATCAGCAATAATCAACAGCATTCTGGTAACAGGAAGTAACTTTCCTATATGTCATTGCAGTGATTAGCATGCTTTACTGACTACCTTCAGCTGCACTCCTTTGAAAAATTAAAATATATCTTGGTTACATAAATAGGTTAGTAAAATTAGCTTTTTTTTTTTAACTGGATAAAATTATCTTGGTTGTTCTATAAAGGAATGATGAAGCTCTAGGTTACACACTAAGGGCCAAATTTTTAGAGGTACATAGATGCCTGAAGATGCAAGTAGACACCCAGTGGGGTTTTCAAAAGCACCTAGGTACCTATTGCCCACTGAAATCAGCCTAAGGCCTAAGGCCCAGATTTGTAAAGGTATTTAGGCATTGCTGCACTCAGCGTTGCAATGCTTAACTAATTTAGCAGCCTAAAACTCATTTTCTAAAGTTAACTATGAATGGGATTTAGGCTCCTAAGTGCCTAAATCACTTTTGAAAATGAGATTTAGGCTTCTAAATTAGATTAGCATTGCAACGCTAATGCCTAAATACCTTTACAAATCTGGGCCTGCATGATTTTGAAAATCCCATGAAGCTCTTATTTTGTATCTTTAGGTGCCATACCTTTGAAAAATTGGCCCTAAATCACTCTCACTCTCTCTCACACACACACACAGATTTTCAAACACATAAATTGTGGGTAGGTGCTTGACGCTCGTTGACTTTCAAGGAGTTGCTAATGGCCATTCAAATCTCTGAAAACCTCTCTACAACAGTGTTAACATTTACCAGCACTTACCACACTGTTGTATCTCAAATACTGTATTTGTTTCCAGTGGAAAATTCTGGCTTCCAGAGACCACTGTGCAAAAACTGTTGGAAAATTTAGGTTTTTTGAATGGTGACCACTGTATTACTGCCCAGAAAAAAAATTGGAAAATTGACACCATTTAAAAACATATAACCAGTGCAGCTTATTCAAAATAACAACAAAAATAAGTAAAGAGGCGTTAACATAGACACCAAATCAAATATGTACCAAGCTGCAAGGATTTTTTTGGTCGTGACTCAACATATAAATAAGAAAGAAAGAAAGAAAATATATGAAAAGTTTGGATGATGTCATAGAGCATAAAGGTAGTTTCTTAAAGGTCACGGCTGTGCTCTTGATTCATCTTTAGATCAGAAATTCTTCTGAATTCTGGTATCTATTAAATAATTGATTGGTCATCCGCTGCACATAGGGATCCAGGAATGGACTCCATATTACACAATATGTAGTCAGTTTTTTATATGTACAAAAAAATCTTTAGCTCATACTTGCTATCTCCAAAAGCAAACTGAAGCAGTGTTCATAGTTCGTATCAGTTTTACCTTCCAGGTGGTTGGGGTTCATATTTTGGCTGCATGTATGGCCCTCCAGAACCATTTCTGCTTAGAACTTGATAACAAAAACAAAAAACTAGTATAACACAAGACCTATGTAGATATACAAAGGATCTACATAATTATGAGCACTTCTGGCAAGCATTTCAGTAGGCACATCTTAAGTCTCCTAATTTGGGGAGGAGATTCCTGGTTTTAGCCTCTATGTCCCCTGCTCCTCCCTTCCTTAAGGACTGTTCATCCCAATGCCCTGTTTCCAAGGATATGTGAGTGGGCTGGTTGACTTTCTGCTCAGCCATGCTGTCTCTAGCTCTCCCTCTCTGCATAAATCTATTGTATTATGAAGTGCTTGGGGGTAGAGAACAAAAGAGCCCAGTGACAGAGCAAATGAAGATGGAGTCAGCTCAAATGCCTGTCTTTTAGCTTCAGGTCAGGAAAGCACTCTGTCACCAGCACTTCAGAGATGGAGGAAAGGGAGAAATCACAGACAGTTCCTGCAAAGCTACAGTAACTGAGGAGGAGAAACTCCAGGAAGAGGATGGTGCTGAAATATAAGGATAACAGAATAGAGCTCATGGTGCTTCATCTTCGAATCACCAGGGCCTGATGAAATACATCCTAGAATACTCAAGGAACTGACAGAGATATCTGAGCTATTAGCGATTATCTTCAAAAAGTCATGGAAGATGGGAGAGATTTCAAAGGGCAAATATAGTGCCCATTTATAAAAAGGGGAATAAGGACAACTTGGGGAATTACAGACCAGTCAGCTTAAATTCAGTACCTGAAAAGATGATGGAGCAAATAATTAAGCAATGAATTTGCAAACACCTAGAAGATAATAAGGTGATAAGTTACAGTCGGCATGGATTTGTCAAGAATAAATCATGTCAAACCAAACTAACAGCTTTCTTTGACAGAATAATAAGCCTTGTGGATAGTGGGGAAGTGGTAGATGTGGCATAGCTTGACTTCAGTATGGCTTTTGATACTGTCTTGCATAACCTTTTCATAAACAAACTAGGAAAATACAAACTAGATGGAGCTACTATAAAGTGGGTGTATATTTGGTTGAAAATCCATTCCCAGATAATAGTTATCAGTGGTTCACAGTCATGCTGGAGGGGCATATCAAGTGGGGTCCCACAAGGATCATTTCTGGGTCAGGTTCTGTTCAATATCTTCATCAATTATTTAGATAATGGCAGCCATAGAGAGTCAGGGCCGGCTCCAGGCACCAGCCCACCAAGCTTATGCTTGGGGCGGCACCTGGAGGGGGGGGGTGGCGGCGGCTCCAGCCGCCAGGGATAGCGGAGCCCCGGCCGGGCTCTCCGCCCTCCCCCCGGCGCTCTGGCCGCCGGGGAGAGCGGAGCCCCAGCCGGGCTCGCTGCCCTCCCCTCGGCGCTCTGGCCGGTCGGGGAGAGCGGCCCACGGCCGGGCTCAGCACCCTCCCCTGCCGCGCTGCGGGGGAGGGGCGACGCAGCGGGAGGCTTTTTTGCCTTGGGCGGCAAAAAAGCCAGAGCTGGCCCTGTAGAGAGTACACTTATAAAATTTGCGGACACTATCAAGTTGGGAGGAGTTGCAAGTGCTTTGGAGGATATGATTAAAATTCAGAATGCTCTGGACAACCTGGAGAAATGGTCTGAAGTAAATAGGATGAAATTCAACTAGGACAAATGCAAAGTACTTCTGTTAGGATGGAACAATCACTGTGGAAAGGGATCTGGGGGGTCATTGTGGATCACAAGCTAAATATGAGTCAAACTGTTGCAAAAAAAAAAGCAAACATTATTCTGGGATGTATTAGCAGGAGTGTTGTAAGCAAGACACAAGAAGTAATTCTTCCACTCTACTCTGTGCTGATAAGGCCTCAACAGGAGTATTGTGTCCAGTTCTGGTCGCCACATTTCAGGAAGGATATGGACAAATTGGAGAAGATCCAGAGAAGAGCAACAAAAATGTTTAAAGGTCTAGAAAATATGACCTATAAGGGAAAGTTGAAAAAACTGGGGTTGTTTGGTCTGGAGAAGAGAAGACTGAGAGGGAACATGATAACAGTTTTCAAATACATAAAAGGTTGTGACAAGGAGGAGGTAGAAAAGTTGTTCTCTTTAACCTCTGAGGATAGGACAAGAGGTAATTTAAGCAATGGGCTTAAATTACAGCAAGGGTGATTTAGGTTGGACATTAGGAAAAACGTCTTAACTGTCAGGGTGGTTAAGCACTGGAATAAATTGCCTAGGAAGGTTGTGGACTCTCCACCACTGGAGATTTTTAAGAGCAAGTTAGACAAATACCTGTCAGGGATGGTCCAGATAATAATTAGTCCTGCCTTCAGTGCAGGGGACTGAACTAGACCACTTGAGGTCCCTTGCAGCCCTATGATCCTATGATCTGCAATGGTAGCATATATGAAGAAGCAACAATGTAAACAGCCACTGTTTCCCACTTGCATCCAGAATAACCAGAGTTTTTTCAATTTATTTTACAATTCCCCTCCCCTTCCAGTGAAATAAAAGTAAAAGAAAAAAAAGTATGGAAAAGTGGGAGAACTTCCCCCTCTACACTATTTTAAAAATAATGTTATATTTCATTTAAACATTTTTCACTAAATAATTTGAATTTTTTTGAATGAAGTGTAAAAAATTCATTTTTCCAAAATGCAATTCTATTTATTAACCAACCCTTCTGATAAATAAATAAGAAAATCATACATTTGAAATTTCAATTAAAAAAATCTGCATTTGTAATCTACTTGTGTGTAATACTGAATTAGAATTATTGATTCTTCTCTTGGGGAACATACATTTTAGCACGTAGCCTGCAAAACTATTACAAATGGAGACTCTGCATTTTGTGAAACCATCCCAAGAGAGCTGCTCCCGTACCCCTACCCCAAACCTGAACCCCCACCCCACCCTTTGCACCCACCCTGAACCCAACCCTCCACCCTACATCCCTACCCCACAGGTACTGGTTCACCTCTTTGTCCTTTCCTTATGCAGGTCTGGCAAAAGCACAATGCTTTCCTGCTGCAGTATGGGATACATACTTTGCAAAATGCCACATGAAAACGCATAGTGTAGTAATGAGTCTGTCATACAAACAGCCCGTGGGGCTCATAGGCTGCCTATGGACCGCCCTGTCTTAAATGTGTGCAGAGTGCTTATATAATAAAAACAGTTTGAACTGAAGATAACATTTTTTCCCCCTTTGTGATAGCCAGGTTAAATTGTATCAATATATTTAGCACAATACCACAGTTTAGGACAAAATAATCAGTGCTTTGCAAGTCTTCATAACTGTTTATTCATTATAAATAGTAAATATTTACTGCACTTTTTACATGAAAGACATTTTTTTTACAACACATGTGTTGTTGGTAGAGGCTGCAACACAAAGATAATATTTCTTTTGTTCCATCACCTTTTAAGACCAATGTGTGAACTAATCTCTGTACTACACCTAGTCTCACTATCTCACTACTTCATAGTCCTTAATGCTAAAAGGAATGTATGTGTCCTACCTCATTCATTGTTCCAAGAATAAAGAGAAATAAATAACACTGCCTTCCATCTTCCTGTTCCTCTTAACATTTCAAAACACAAATTTATTGACATTCTAAAATGTCACAACACAAACTTATGTAAACCTCGGTTCCTATTATTATTTTTTCTATATTAGCTATCACTGTATAATTTAAAAGTACATGTCAGATACAGGGACATCTCTGTTCATGTCCTGTACATCACTAAAAGAGAATGTAAACGTAATCATTTCAAATGTATTGTTTCCTGAAAATGGTCATGACTCGTGAGCCAGATTCTGTTGTACTACGGACTGCACCACTTCTGCATTTTATCATAATGAAATATGTACTGCAAAAATAAAAGTACCTGCAAAAATATAGTTCTATCTATATCACTTTGGATGATCCCAAAGCTTGTGTGAGGTACACAGTATTGCACATTGTTAGGCAGTTGTGGAAATCAAAGTCACTTTGTTTTGTTGTTGTTGTTTCCTTTTCCGTGTTTGTTTCAGAACGTAACATGGATTAGGAAAACTTCACACACACAAATTGCAAAAAAATTTCTTCATGTTACACAATATCTTGTTAATTGTAAAGCAAAACTTGTATGTGACATTTCTTGACAACATGATTACAAAAGAATGATAAGATAACCATTAACTTGTTCTGGAAGTCTTTTACATCTATCCTAGCTTCCTACAGACCATGACATTTCGTCTTGATGTCAATTTCCAGTGTGTAAAATCAAAATGTTCTCCTGCTCATGCTTCAGAAACTGAGCAGTTTTAAAGTTAGAATAAAGTCAGCATCGGATGTCAAGAGTCTGAGTTTGCAGAGCTCAACTGTTAAGTTTTAGAATATTTTGTTTGTCCAAATCAATGCATGCTTTTTCAGCAACATAAAATGGAATGCTTTGTCAGTCAGTGATTTTAAATTCTTCAGCATTTTTTATACCTGCCCACGCTGAACTGTGTTGTATTTATTTATTTGTTTATTTTTTATTGCTCTTGGTCTTTGTCTTCTGAACTGTTACGTCCAACATGTCGAAATGTCTATCGAAAGCAATGACGCGAGAAAAGAACAGAATGATCCTGTATCTCTATTGTGATTGCCCCAGCTTGGGTTGCATTTTGGTGAGAAGATCCCTCCCATCCAAGCACTGGAGTGAGACCAGAAACAAGACAAGCTTTAACTTGAAGTGGACAGTTCATTTATGCAATATCTGGCTTCAGATAATGAAAGGCACCTGTAAGAAAGCAAAAGAAGTTCTTTAAGTCATGCTGTGACAACCTCACAGTAAGGGGCAATGTCAACTACAGGTTGACATTGTCATATTTAATACAAATATATCAAAGGAAAGGGACTAATATTTTTATTCCTGGGACAAGTTTGACAAAACTCTATGTATCTGGGATTATATACTATAATGATTCTTGAGCTGACCTCATTAAAAACATGTGTTTCTAATACTGGAATGCCAGTGGTTATTTCATTTTGGACAACCCTTATGTTTTACCTAATGGCAATCAGGTTTCATGTCTCAACAATTAATAACATCAAGATGTTGTTGACATCACTTAAGAAAATAATTATGCAGCAGAAATCTTGCTTGAACAATCAGTTATCTTAGCAGCAAACATAGTTCTATTATGAAGAGAAGAAAAAGTCATAGGTTAGAATCAATCCTCCCCATTTCCTTTGTTACAAGAAGAAAAATATACTGTAGCTAGACAGTTACCTTACTAAGGGTATGACCCAGTCATTGCACAACATAAATATCCACCTGGTACTCACTTTGTCCATACTGTCCATACTGGTATCCTGTGACAGGGTCCATACTGTAACCGGTGGTGCTGTAAGTTGGTGGGCAGTAGGACTGTGATGTAGGCAGGCTATCTAAACTTTTCATATGATCTAGTCTCTGACTGCAGCTGGCTGATACAGTAGTGGTTGGTTCTAGACCCCCAGTTAAGGGTGAGAGGGCATAATCAGTTTGGGGCTGGTGAGGTACACCACCATGGTTAGTCAGGAGGCCCATTACCTAAAATAAAACGTATAGTAACAAATAAAGGTTAAAATGCATGAAGAACTATATTTCATATAGAGCTGCAAGAACAACTAGTGTCTGTTATTTAATTTCCCATGATATCTATTACTTGGTATTTAACCTGAACTTCGGGTTCCTAATTCAAAGAGGAAAAAGAGTTACATCATGCATCTAAATAGTAACTTATGGCTGGCATTCCAGAAAAAATAATGTACAGGCATATAGGTGGGACAAAAAAACAAACCACCTTTTATGCTCTTAAAATGTCTGATCACGTCACAGCTGGAATTCCTATGGATGTTTATTCATTGGGAACTCGATGAGGATAAAAAAGAAAAAGAGAAAATAGATCATCAGTCACAGTCCAAGTTTTCTTATGATGCTGTTCCCCAAACACAAAATCTTCATCATGCTTTATTCTCCAACCCAAGCCATTGTGTATTCTTGATAACAAACAGTGCAGCCAGAACAGACATAACTATAAAAGTAGCCACATTAGAAAAGAGTGAGGTATTTATATGGCCAATTTAAAAATGCATAATTAATTAGGGATATCTTAGGTTCCCATGTTGAGGCTCTTAAACCCTAACATAGGAGCTTTGAAATGGGGTAGTACATGAAATCGAGCCCCACTGACTGTTCTAGTCAACTTGACCATATAAACAGCTCCTCTTTTCTAAGGGGCCGTTTTTTCCTAGATATCATCTCTTTATATAAATTATTTTTTCTTCTTTTTTCCCCCCATGATGTCATTGTAAACTTGTTTTCATCAAATATTTATTTTTGCTTTAGAAGAGCGGGGAAAATAATCTGTAATTATATTGATAAAAAGTTCCCAACAGGAACTAAACTCTAGGGCTGACTGAACAATGGGGCAAAATAGTTAATTATTATTTATATTTGCCTCAAAGCCCCAGGCCTGGACCAGGACTCCACTGTGTAGGTGCTGTACAAACACACCACAAACAAATGATCCCTTCCCCCAAAAACTTATTAATTAACATTTGTTCAGCTTCAAAAACTAACATCAGTTCAATATGTTCACTACGTACTACAGGCAGCCCTCCAAATGCAGAGCCAGAGAAAGATCCTAGCCCCCCCAAAAACGTTGGTCTACTGGCTGGGGCAGAGCACCCATAACTCATGCGCTGCTGGTATGAAGCATGTGCTTGCCTGTAAAGAATACTAGAAGTGGATTTTTTACACATAAAAGCTTATGCCCAAATAAATATGTTAGTCTTTAAGGTGCCACTGGACTCCTTGTTGTTTTTGTGGATACAGATTAACACAGCTACACCTCTGACAGAAGAAAAAGGTTACAGTGCTTGCTGTTTGGTCAGAGTCATGCCACAAACTCCCTAGCCAATTCACTCCTTTCTAAAGAACAACAGTAGTGCTCTCTTTCTAGCTTGGCTTCAAGCCTCCAATGACTCTTGTAACGTCCTATAGATAAATGTAGTTAAGAGATTAACCAGAAAGTCAAGATCAATAAAAAAAAAGACTTTAGATTGCTTGAAAACATGTACTTGTATCTAAAAAGTCAATCCTCTGGCTGGAATTTCCTATGGAAGTTCAGGGAGAGATTTTACAAAAGCACCTAAGTGATTTAGGAGCACAAATTAATTGTACTTGTGCTGCTAAATCCCTTATTTCTGCAAATCTCTTCCTTGTGCTACAGCTTGATGTATGTTTCTTTTCAAAGGACTTCTGTATTTTCACAGCATATGGTAAAGACAAACACAGCTCTGAGAACTACTCCCTTCTGCTAGCACATTTAGGCCTAATCTACACTTAAAAATTAGACCAACCTAGCTATGTTGCTCAGGGCTGTGAAAAATTCGTGCTCTGCATGATGGGATTAGGATGACCTAACCCGCAATGTAGATGCAGCAATGTGGATGGAAGAATTCTTCTGTCAACATAGCTACCACCAAAGCTGTGCTGCAATAGCAACTATAGTGTAGGCCAGGGATCGGCAACTTTTTGCACGCGGCCTGCCAGGGAAATCCGCTGGGACGGTTTGTTTACCTGCAGCGTCCGCAGGTTCGGCCGATCGCGGCTCCCACTGGCTGCGGTTCGCAGTTCCAGGCCAATGGGGGCTGCGGGAAGCGACATGGGCCGAGGGATGTGCTGGCTTCCTGAACGAGGATCCTTAGGGCTGTTTGGGTGAACGTGTTTATGCCCATCACCTTAAGCTACTTCTTAAAGTAGTTCTGACTTTTTCTACTTCTGTTCTCAATAGAAAGGGGCCCAAGATACATTTGGACCTGGATGCAAATTATGAACAACCCAAAGTTTGGGAGTGTTTTGATCCAGGGTTTTGGTGTGACCCATTATAGTGCTAGGGAGCAGGCTTTAAATGGGGATTTGGATCAGATTCTAAACTTCAGGTGTGCTTGTATCTGGTGTTTTAGTTCAGGCCCTCCTTTAGAAAATTTACTCTTTTGCCAGCCATGTAGCCACTGAAAGTTGAAATGTACTGGTATTAGATGGGATCTCATTCAAAATTTACCACAGATTAACTCAAGTTGTCAGTCATCTCTAATCAAGTGCAGATGCACCTAATAAAACCGATGCCTTTAACCATCTTGACAAGAGTGACAGCACTATATCTTCAAGGCTGAAAAATTTGATTTTGAACAGTAATTGTCTTCTCAGAAACGTCTTCTTCAGAAGCCTTAGGAATCATCCTGCAGTTGATTAGCATCTAAATAATTAGATTTTTGGTCATGTCTGTTTGAAAGCTATAAGGGAAGTAGCCTAAAGGCAGAAGTCTCTCTTATGGTATGTGTCATGACCTTATCACCCATGCTAGGAGTTACAGGAAGGGCATGAATGACTTTCACCTAATCAATTAGAAAGCCATTAAAGATCCAATCCTGCAAGCTGCGACTTCTACTGCCCTCCATGAAGTAGATGGCACTCAGCACCTCACAGGAGGCACTCTATTACTTCCAGGTCTGGGCGCGGAAGGTGAGAACCTTCACTGATATAAACCAGCAGAGCCCCCCGCCCTTCCCCCTCCAGGGTAAATGGAGCTACACGGATTTATTCCAACAATGGGTCTGGCCCTGAATGTGTAAAACCAAATTATTTACATATTCATTATGAGCATGATTCAGCTCCCATTAAAATCAATAAAAAGATTCACATTGACTTAAATGAGTGTTGGCTCAGGTCCTACGTCTTTAGAGCCAAATGCTGCAGTTCTTATTCATGCTGAATTTTAATGAGGTCAAAAATCAAGTCTTACGGTTTTGGCCACATGCTACATTTTGTTCATGAATAAAGTAGAACAATAAAAAACAAGTGTTTTCTTTGTGGCATGTGATTTCAAGTTTGGCTTGATAAGGAACACCGGGAGTATCCTTGAACTGATAAATAGCCTTTCAGTTAATATAGCAAAATACAATATTCATAGTTTGTAGACAATTATATTCTAAGACTATGGATCTCTAAATTCAATCTTGTTTCCAGACAAAATTGCCTTCTAATAAATACAGTGAACTGCAACAAGGACAATAGACAGAAACATTTTATTGAGCAATTTCCACCACCCTTCCTCAAAACAAAAACAAAAAACAAACAAAAAAACAAACACAAAAAAACCTCTCCACTTTTTTACAACAAATTCTCAGCTGTGGGAATGAATGTAGTGCCACTGAAGTCAACAGAGATTCACACCAGTTGAGGTCATGCCTCAGTATGTATAAGTAGAAGTGGCTGATAAAAGCCTTAAAAGTATGTAGGCAACACTGGGTCCATTATCAACTATTACATAAAATGTATCTATTATCAACAAAATAAAGCCCATTAAACTGAGATAAAGCTTATTCCATTTAAATGAAACATTATGCCAGTTAATGTGGTTGGTATTTTAGTAGGTTGGACCCACCATAGACATAATAAAATTCTCATGTGTTTTAATTCATTTACGCATGCCTGCATTTAATATGCTTTGTGACCATAACTGCAATTAATATGATTTATGAGAAAAGAACATGAGTCATATTCTTGGGTACAGTGATACATTTTTTTTCACCCTTCTCTAAACGAAAGATTTAATGAAACAGCTCAAGGAAAATTGTTAGCAGTTAACGTATTAAGTTGAGCTGACAGAATCATGAGTAAACTTTAGTGGAGTTAATGATATCCTCTTATCTGACCCTGACACATTTGCAGCATGTAATTTACAGAAGCTCTGTCCAGGGAATCTTGACAAATGCTCCTAACGATGTCAGGGCAATGTTCCATTCTAATGTAAAACAGATGTGGGTCAGATACCCTCATTCATCACTAACACAGAAAATTTCAAACTGCTTCTAAGATGAATGACATTACCTGCTGTTAACTCTTCACTGCAGAAAATCTCTGAGAATCAAAATATCACACCAAAAAAGAGCACATTTTAAAGAGGGAGATTTTTAATGCATCAAAGAACTAAGTTAATATTTAAAAAATCTGGATGTGAAATTTGGATCAAATTTGTTTTGATTGATCATGATCGCTTTCAGCATGACACATATATGAGATAGAGTCTACCCTAAATGGCAGATATCATGGGAGGAGAAGGGAGAGGAATAAGTTTTGTGGGAAATATTAAAATTGTTTCTTTTTCCCAGAATTCAAAACAGACCTATTTTCTGGTTGCTGGGGTTTTTTTTGGGGGGGGGGGGAGGGAAGGAGTTGCAAAAGTTTTCATGACATTTTTAACAGTTTTTAATAGAATTTTTTATTGAAATTGTTTAAAAACATCGAACATTTCATTTACAGAAAACCACATTCTTGGTAAACAAAAATGTTCAGTAATGATTTTGATACAATTTAATTAAATTATTGATTAAAATATTCCACAATAATTTCTGAAAATCAGAAAAGTTTGAAGATGTTGACAATTTTTTGTGCAAAGTCCTGTTTTGTGGTGGATAATCTATTTTTCATCTGAAAAACATTTTGTGCAAAAAATTTCAGCCCACTGTATGGCAGAGATATGT